TTACACTTTACACACACACTCCACACTCACACTCACACACACACACACAACACGCACACACACACACACAAGACACACACACACATGCACACACAGCACACACACACACTAGCAGGCACAACACACTACACAAGCTCGGGGCAGGGCAGACTACAACACAGACGCTCTAACTGCGTGTCACTGCCAAGTGCTTCAGGCGCGGTATTTTCCACACACGGCCACTACGGCACACGCACCGGGCACACGTGGAGTACGAGGGCGCGCGCGGAGGGAACAACTAGCGGACACACACACACACACACACACACACAACAGCACACACCACTGCACACACACACACACACACACACACACACACACACACACACACACACACACACACTCAGCACACACACACACTCACACACACACACACACACACAACACACACCACACACACTCAACACACTCACACACACATCACACCACACACACACACACACACACACACACACACACACTCACTCACTCACTCACTCACACACACCACACACACACACACACACACAACACACACACTCACACTCACTCACACACACACACACACACACACACTCACACTCACACTCACACTCACACACAACACTACACACACACACACACACATACACATACACATACACACTCATACACATAAACACACACACACAACACACACACACACACACTCACATTCACACACACTGACACTCACACTCACACACGCACACCACACGCACACGCACACGCACACGCACGCACACGCACACACACACACACACACACACACACACACACACACACACACACACACACACACACACACCACACACACACACACACACACACACATACACACACGCACGCGTGTGTATGGATGGATGGATAATGAATGGATGTATACATGTGTTCATTTATGTATGTATGCATGTATGCGTGTATGTATGTATATATCTACTAATAAGTAAAGACAAACATGACAAAAGAGCTTTTTGGACAAATGTTTTGACTAAATCAAGCGGTGACGACCAGGAGTAAAAGTATATAAAACAATGAAAAAAAAAAAATGAAATATGAAAAGGGCCAAAAGGAGATGATAACAACAATAATGCTTCAAGTGTTCAGAAAAGGAAAATATAATCAATTACATTCCTCGAGCTGCCATTTGAGACAGAAGCCAAAGATGAGTCATACGTAAAGTCACATGCAATTTTGAATTTAAAAGGGCAATTTAAAAAATAAATAAATTCCAGATTACAGAAGACCAAAAAAGACACTTTAGATACACTAATACTACTTCTTGAAGGATGTATTTCTCAAACGGATTTATAGAATCATAGTTATTTCAGAGAAATTAAGAAATTAAGAATCTGAAGAGCACGTTGGTTATATTAGGATAATAAGAACGACAACCAGGCAATGGAAGAAAAGGCAGCGTACTATCAATTTGAAGTCTATTAAAACAGCGGCATGACAGATGGCGCCACAGATTGTGGACGTAAAACAACATCGCTCTTATCATGATAAAACCCATATCAAACAACGCTAAAAAATAATATCTGAGGAAACCTACAAAGAAAAGTCAAGCGATTGTGTACGACGCGGATGACGAAAAGATGGATGTGTAAAACGAGCCCTTGTGTGGGTTTTAAACTTTGTGTGAGCAAAATAATCTATATGCCCAAATTTTTATAAATCATAAATAATGGAGTTCATCATATGTATCAGAAGATTGTTAAGTGGAAAGGTTCATAATTTACAGTTTTAGAAGATGCAACTTTCGAAAGATGCAACTTTCGAAAGATGTACGAGAGAGACGCTTGTTTTGGTCTTCTTTCTCCATATTTTTGATCGAGTGGATTATTATTTTTTTGACCTAAAATCTTGTGTCCTATTTGGGATTTGGTATGTATAATTTCAGTTAATGAAAACTAGAGAGTGGTGGAACTATTTCTACTATATCATTTACGTCATTTATCTGAAATTACAATGATATTGGTGGAAGAAGAGAGGAGGCTGAACAAATAAACACCATGCCAGTCATATGCGAATCAACGCTTGGATCGCCGATTGTGTCTGAGCGGTTCTCCAATAGAATTAACAGGTCTTGCAGAGATGAATATGATGCCCATTTGTGAATGGTTGGGTTTGGACATTTCTCTCACAGGTGTGTATGAAGTATTTAACCCAGAATTTTTTCCACACCTTGTATTCTACATTTCTACTTAGCGTTGGCATTACAAATACACTTTAATCATAACTTATATGGTTTCTAATTACGGTGTATAGCGCTTATGATAAATGCATTCAAGAACAGTATAATTCTCTATCTCTTCAATACACAGTACTATAGGCCTACAAAGTCTGCAAGTGGACTACTTCAGCTATGTTCTTCACAGTAAGGATAATAAAGATATGGTACAATATGGTATTGGTTATGTAATACACATTCTAAGTGGTGTAGAGACTTCAGTAGAATTAAAGTTTTACATAGATTTAGTTTCAGTTCCATTTGTTACAATGGATATTCTTTGCTGTGACATACTGTCTTTAATTTTGCTTCTAAATCTCCCCCTGTGTGCAAGGAATGTAGCGCGCAGGATCAAACGCAGGTCAGCAAGATTGCAAGACCACCACGTTATCGCTGCACTGCACAGCACACAGCAATGCCATAGAAAGCCACTGGCAACATACGGATGCATCTCTGGCTCTCTAGTTTCTCGAAATTCAGCCGTAAAAGGAGGGAGATTCCGTTTAATTCGGTTTATACATCCGGCTTTGCTGTACCTTCGTCCCGGCCTTTCATCTAGTCTCAGGTACGTAAATAAAATGAATTCGTGCGTAAATTGTACTATTCAAGAAATAAAGGGAAAAAAAACTCCATACACTGGATTTCAAACGGGAGTATGGAACCCACCGGCTTTTGTCTATCTTTTAATAGCATCTATTGCATAACATATACCTCTTAACAGTTTTTTCCTTTCGTGTGCTGTGCAATATCCACGGTGTTCTGTGACATCTGGTTCGTAGGCCTGTGGTTACATATATATTTTCCCCCATTTATATGTGCGTGTGTGTCTGACGCTTCTACGTGTGCAATATGCCACAGACGGAAAAATAAGGTGAGAATTTATGTTTTTTTTTCTCTCTCTTTTTTAGTTATTTTGATTTTTGCTGCATAGCGTTTTTTTCTTCTTTTTGTTGAAGTTGCAATCCATTTCCGATATTCATCTTTTTCTTAATCATAAATGCTAATTTTCTAGCACTCATCGTCTCTAAATTAAACAATTTTGCTTCTTTGCTTGCAGGACAAATGTTTTATTTACCTACAAAATGCCAGCACTTATTTTTGTTGTTCTTTTCAGTTCCCCTTTCGTTTTATCTCCCTTTCTCATAAAGAAGAAAGAGACAGAGATGGAAGATACAGAGACAGATGTCTGGACTATCTCGCCTAACTCCTTCATCCTTCCTCATAGACCAAGAATGGCAAGATCTTGGAATAAGAAGCAAACGATGAAAGGCAAGAAATATATTCCATGGCGGTCGTCACAGGCATCAGAAAAAAAAACAAATCGATGTATTGCTGAAGAGAAAAATAAAGAAGGCACACCACATAACGAAAGAAAGACAAATGGGGAAAATCTTCGCTCTTAGAGCTTCTTCGCTTCGAGCAAGTCGAGAATCCTGTAGCCTTCCCGCTCGCCCGTGGCTATGGCGCCGTCGGTCGTCCCGAAGCGCGCGTTGTGGGTGTGCTCGCCCGCCCACGCCAGCACCTGCGGGTCGAGGCGCAGATCTGTTATATGTGTATGAATACACACACACACACACACACATATACACATACATATATGTGTGTGTGTGTGTGTGAAGGTATGTATGTATATGTGCATTTATGTATATGTATTTTATATATATATACGAATGTATGTGTGTGTGTGTGTGTATAAATGTGTGTATATACGTATGTATGAATGTGCCTGTAACTGTGCTTATCCATGTACGTTGCGTGTGTATGTGCGTGTAGGCGTACGTGTACATGTACTCGTATGTTTAGATACACGCGTACGTATAAATGTACGTGCGCATGTATCTGTGTGTTCATCAAATCCAGATAGGATTCCATTCTACGCGCAGTGGCTTTCGCGCCTCGTCTCGCGGCTGCACAAAACACGTGAGCATCGAGAATGGCGCGTTTATTGCTGGCAAATGCATCCCAGAAAGAATGCGTGACTCAAAGGGAAACGAAGGCGGCGGCAGAAGAATCCCCGCGCCATTGCTGATGCTCATTTGTTTGGCATAAACGCGGGGTAAAGTGTGAGGACGTTTGTATGAAGGATCGAATCCGACCGTAGATTACAGGAACAACTAGGTATGGATTCCTTTCCATACAGCATGCTTGTATCCGTGAATAATAGGGTGATTTTTAATTTTTTGTTCTATCAGATTTACATATCTATATGATGATGATGAAGCACCCATATGATTACATTTAAAAAGATCTAATTCAATCGATCACCAAGTTGGACAAACAAGAAAATATACTAAGAGACCTGGATATTAAATACATTAAATAAATGTATAGGTCAATAAATTTAAACACTCATCCTTTCTCTCTCTCTATCTACCCATCGATCTGTCTATCTATCGATCTATCTATTGGTTGATCTATCTATCTATCCGTATCTCACACACATACATACACACCACCCCCCCAAGCACACACAATTCAATCTCCTAGAACTCTCGTCCCGTCCTATTAGCCCCAGAAGGAACACGTACCTCAGCGCCGTTGGAATTGGCGATCGGGATGGCCAGCAGGTCGTGACTCTCCATGCCCTGTTGCTCGCCCCAGAAGGTGATGTAGGTCTCGTAGGCTCCGCGCGTCCATGGGTTGTTGTACCACGTTGTTCTGTATATATGTGTATATATATGTGCGTATATAAGATATGCACACACACACACACACACACACACACACACACACACACACACACACACACACACACACACACATATATATATATATATATATATATATATATATATATATATATATATATATATATATATAAAGTAAGGATTCAACTTAGAATTTAATTGAACTAGTAAAGAAAACCTTTTTATCTTCTATTGCTTATTGTTCAGATTTACACTGTGATATGCCAATTGTTTATTATTTGTGTATAGAATAAAAAGGAATTAGTTGAAAATCATTCTATGCCTGGTGTATCTTTGTCACACAACAAAGGAAAAAAGTTGAATCCACCCCATAAGCCTTATAAATTTATTGTACTATATACTACTCATATGAAAATTAGGTAAGTAAAAAAAAGACATTTTGGGGATTACTTAAAATCCAAAACTCCGGGTGGTGGTGGCAGTACAAGAGAGGGAGAGTAGGAGATAGCGAGAAGGGAGGGAGGGACCTTGCATCGCGGACCATTGCAATTGTCTCCCTAAGCATGTTCCTCTGTCTATCCTTGGACAGTGAATTATTGAAGAAATAAATAGAAATTGAAAATTCATGAAAATATTTGGAATAACAGACATTGCAATCTGATATATTTTGATCATATCTTACGGCCCTTGCTATCACACAACCCCCCCCCCCCCCTGTTTACTCTTCTGTCTTTCAGAGAACGCAGCACCAGCCCATCGGGGACGACGCTTAATAGCATATGCCGAGCGATCTGAGGAACAAGGATTACCTTCACAACGTTTCCAACACTAGGGACTCCAGACCCAGTCTTGAAAGCTACAACACATTTGATCTCGGGTCACGAGCTGACCTGGACAGCTCCCTCTGGGAGTCTCTCATCCTGCTCTGCGCGCCTCTTGGGCTCCCCATGCCCACAACTGCACCGCACGAGACACAGCCCACACCACGCTACCTTCCACTTCTATCAATAAATGGCCAATGCAGAATTGTGTCTCCATAACCCACCAAAGCCAAGGGAAAACAAAACCCTGACAGAAAGAAATAAAGAGAAAGAGATAGATATATATAGAGAGAGAGTGAAAAAAAGAGAATTAAGAGAGAAAGATAGATAAATAGAGAGAGAATGAGTAACAGTGAGAGAGAGAGAATGAGTAACACTGAGTGAGAGATAGATAGAAAGAGAAAATGAGTAACAGTTAGATAAAGAGAGTTAAAAGAGTGAGGGAGAGAAAGAGGGGGGCGGATGGGAGAGAGAGTTATGTGAACGTATCGATGTATCGATTTCTTGATTTTATTTGACACCGATACCAATACAAAGTATCGATCGATAAGTATCGCCGATATACATATATATATATATATATATATATATATATATATATATATATATATTATATATATATATATATATATATATAGCGTGTGTGCATAAGTTATTGTAAACATAAAATCCGTCCTTTTATCTCACCTGTGGAAGAAAATGGGTTTTGGGACCTCTGTGCGCGTGATCTCCTGAGGAAGTACATCATGTGTTCTAGAACCGTCTCTTCGGGCAGGTTTTCCATCGTGACGGCGTCTTTTCCCACGAGGAACACCTGTAGGACGTTGGGCGCTCGGTGTGGGCTCTCTATGTTCACGATGTGTAGAGCCACAGCTGCGAGGCCACAGGCAAGGATATACATTTATTTTGTTGACCTTCTACGTAGATTTACCGAAGAGCGACGCGACATTGACTGTACAATTATCATCGTTTACAAAATAAGTGTTTCTGTCTCTCTCTCTTATATATATATATATATATATATATATATATATATATATATATATATATATATATATATATATATATATATATAATATATACAGTGCCAAGAGAAGTAGGATGCCGCTCAATCTTAGATTTTCGTCAAACGTTTACTCATTTAGAAAAAGAGGAAAACCATCTAACAATGGAGAATAACATCATCATAATAATAAAAAGGGGCCTACCGACCCTTAAGCACACTCGAAAGGGTACACAACAGGACCGACTCACCCTGTCCTGAGGAATGTCCCTGGAGGTCCAGATGATGTCGAGGCTGAGAGGTTTGTCGCCCACCACGGGGTCTCCCAACCGAGCTGGACCTTGTCGGCGATGCCCAAGTCAGCGTACTGTGGGAGATATGAGGATGATGAGGATGCTTGAGTGAGATAAAGAGGGTGAGTGAAGGTGAGGATATGTACAATGTCATCATAAGACACTTATGCTGTCATGTTAAAGGGTTTTTATGATAATTTTAACCCCCTTTCTCTCTCACACTCTCTTCTCGGTGCCTTCGTTCCTCATTCACCTTTTCTATCTTTCCTTCCTTCTCTTTTTCCCCTTTTCCTCCCCTTCCCCCCTCTCGCTTCCTCCCTTCTCCCTCCCCTCTCGCTTCCTCCCTTCTCTCTCTATCCCCCCTCACTTCTCCTTCCCCCACTCACTCCTAGATATTTAGTAAAGGACTTTGGCAGCGGCGGCTCGAAGATCTTGGTGTGTCTCTCCTTTAGGTGGCCGAAGGAGAAGGTGACGACGGCGTGGGCGGCGAGGTAGGAGTCGCCCTTCCTCGTCACCACAAGGACCCGGTCGTCCTTCTCGTCCCACAGGATCCGGCACACTGGGCTGCTGAGCTTGACGTTGGTGGCTGGGAGGCTAGCCTGGGGAGGCGCGGGGAGACGGAAGGCGCAGTGGTGAGCAGAGACAGGACTCGTAAGGAGCGAACACGGTGCGTTGAAAGTAAACAGAAAGTTGACAGCCAACACGGTCAGTCAATATCAAACGCGATTGGTAATTCGTAAAGCATAGTTAGCAAGGAAACAGTACGTACGACTGACAAAAAGAAGCGAATTGTGTTCAACAGCAGAACAGCGTTAATGAATAACTGAAAGTGACTAAAGTTTAGAGGCAATACACAAACTACACTTAACCAAACGCGATTTCCAGCAGTAAGGTGAATATTTCATAAACAATAAAAAAACAACACACACTACACTATACACAATAAAAACACTATATCCCACCCAACAATTACATTATAATAATGGACGATCGCATCGAAGCCATTCTTCCACTGGTGATTGGGACCGAACTCCGGGTACCTGTCACGCACACGGGATCCGATGTGGAGCCAGTCCTCGGTCCCCTCCTCGCCGTTCGCCGTCTAGGGGAGGGAGCATTGGCCAAGGCGCAGGGTATATATATATATATATATATATATATATATATATATATATATATATATATATATATATATGTATATATATATATATATTATATATATATATATATATATATATATATATATATATATATATATATATATATGAAAATGAAACTAGCCACAATGAGAATTGAGAATAAGCTCTTCTCGAGTTCCTCATCAGACAAAAAACCGAAATGTGTGTGTGTGCGTACATATATACACATGTTTGTACTCCATTCCGTATATACATCACACAAAATCATTATACACCATATAAACACCTCATATCTCCCCCCGCCTCATGCTCATATACAGAACCAACTTCCATCCTTCACTCCGCAGCCGGGCCACTCCGGAGGAAGGCCCGGGCGAAGCAGGACCGCAAATCTAACTGAACTGAACTTCGCTCCGCCAACGCAGAAGGGAGCCTCAGTACCTGTTCCATGTGATGGAGTAAGCCTCTCCTGAGGCCAGCGTTCTTCATCGGCTCATACTTCTGGTGAAATCTTTAAAAATAGTTAATGTCTGGGTTTCAAAGACGTCTGAGTATGAGTACCAGTAATATATATATATATATTATATATATATTATATATATATATATATTATATATATATATATATATATATATATATATATATATATATATATATATATATATATATATATATATATATATATATATATATATATATATTATATATTCCATTTTCAAAAATATTTTTTTTCAATTTTACATTATCTACTTTATTTTGATTATGCTTAGTATTCAGTATTGTTTTTCTGCTACAGAAAATGAACGTGTAGATTGAGGAAAAATTATATATTAATTACGAAAAATCTGCAGGTATATTATCTATCTTACGCTGTTCTTGATTATTATCATGAATTCATTAGATTTTACTTCTCATGCAAAATAACGCATTACTTTTCTAAAAGATACTGATCCAAAAATAGCAACATTTATGCAGAGAAATGAAATAACAAATGAAAAAATAAAAATAACACTAATTCCTAAGCTTACCTGTTCAGATAACACAGGCCGTAAGGGAGGTCATAGTAGGGCAGGAGGCCATGCTCTGACCTCTCGCAGATGTCCCTCATTTCCTCTAAAACGTCGCCGTAGGATTCGTTGACCGGAGCGCCATCCTGGGTCACTATGCGCCACTCTGGAGGTTCGAGATGGCGTCACTACGTCTTGGTTTCGTTTGGGATTCAAAGCGGGGGTAAAAAGTGCTTTGCCTTGATCGTTAGGTTATATTAGGTGATGCAATAGTGACACCTCTCTAATGGCTTTTATTTTTTCAACTTTTATATCTTTGGATTTTTTATTTTATTATTTCCTGTATATTGTTTGACTCAGCATTGGTTTGCACTTGATTTTCTAATCATATCTTCTTCAGCTCTCATTCTTAGCGATCTTTTATAAATCTAGACAAAGCAAAATTTCAAATAAACCACATTCAGTATGTGAATCTACATACTAAAAAAGGAGAAAAAGATATAGGGCCGTACCATAAAGGTTTCGGGAAAGGGCAGGCGATCGCCTGGCGAAGCATCGTCCGGCGATCGCCTGCCCTTTCCGAGCTTACCACGAAACAACACTTTCGTCAGGCGATCCTTCGCCCGTGTTTCCGCTAGATAGAACATCGCTAACTTTGAACGGCGCGGGAAATTTGAATTATTTTACCTTGACGCACACATCACCATAATCAGAAATAAAGAAAGCCTGTCCACAAGATACTGAGGGAACCTATCTAAAGGCAAAAAATCGCAAATTAAAATATCCTGTGCAACTGAACAATATGACAGACATAAAATGGATTTAGAAATAAATAAATTAAAGTAAACTGAAACAGAAAAGCTACCGACTGTTTTTTTATGCATTGCGATATAATGTCCCATTCTAGCTACACTAGGTGTTAGCTACTCGTGATGATTTCTGGATGAATATTTGAAATCTTATTTGATATAAAACATAATTAATATGACATATATACCTTCAAGTTCTATATAGGATTACACCATTATATATTCACTTCTTTGAAAAGGCAATAGCAGGGTCATCCATGTTCTTTAGACATACTTCAGTTAGGTGGAAATGTAAATTGCCATAAAACGGAATTTTGTTAGTGATAAAGGAAACAGTATTATTTCATTGTTTATTGCTCTGAAGTTGCTGTGGGTTTTGTCAGCAATTGTCAGCTGCCACTTATCAAGAGCTGCACATAGGGTGGTACTAGTGATCCTGAAGAGAAACGCTACATATTGTTATTCACAAGCAAAACTGTATTCAAGTAATTATGAACTTTTGTATCAAAATAATATCATATTATTCTCCAAAAAATATAGGTAGCCTAGATTACCTGGAAAGGGGATGAAATGCATTTTTGCAAAATTATTGGGTATTCATTATATATATACTAATTAGGACGATAAATTTCGTTCATATCAAGTAAATAACAAATCTTTGTGAATTCTATTGATCCATTAAAACCGTCCTCGACAGTCATGTGTTGTCAAGCGATCGCAAATCTTCAATACATGAGTTGCAAGACAGCAAGCCTAATAGACAGTGAGAAGTTTGTTGGCCTTTGCCGGAGGCGCGGAGGCCTGGAGTCGCTTATGCGAGTTTGGTGGCACAAGTGATATCTTAACTAAGGAGCAGAATTATTCATTCTAAATGGGGAAAACATGTTTCGTCACTTTCAAAAATCTTTCCTGATATGAAAACTATAGCTGTCAATATTCATTTGACCTAATATATGTGTTTATTTTGGCGAGGAGAGACAGCGTTCTTGACACCTCACCCGTCCAGAAATCAGCAAAGTATGGGTAAATACTTCTAAATATGGAATACTTATAAGATCATTTATGACTTTATGATTATTTGCGATCCAAAACATACATATGCAGTTTTCTTGGGTTTTCAAGTTAATAATAATGCATTTAGTTTTAGTTCTACTGAGAGATACTTACGGAAGTGGCGATGAAAGAGAAGGGTATAGCTGGCTTTCATAGTCGGGCGATGTTCCAATACTTTGTCTTCCGCGAACGCCTGGCGAAGCTGAAAGTGGTGTTTTGTGGTACGAAAATTCGACCCTTTAGCGGCTGGCAACGCCAGGCGAAGGTAAAATAGGGGTCTTATGGTACCGACTACGGGAACGCCTGGCGAAGAGTCGGGCATTGCCTGACTCTTGTATTTTATAGTACGGCCCTAAGAGAAAACAAAACTATACAAAAGTCGCAATCGCCTATACAAAATGACTCAGAAAAAGCAAAAACAAAAACAAAAGGAAAACAGACGAACCAAAGTGGTCGTCCGGCAGAAGAGGATCCGCGGCCCCGATCTCCCGTGCGATGCGGTACACAGGGTTCCGCCAGCCTCCGTGAATCCACTCGGCGCCCTCCTCGACCCTGATGGAGCCTTGATTGCATGAGGAGGGGGGAAGAGAGGCTTATGAGCGGGTGGAGGGCGTAGTGGCGGGGCGGGTGGAAGAAGGTGGATCTGATGTATTTCTAACAAAGATATATTCGAAACTGGTAAAATACAGCTCTTGTATTGTGAAGATATTCATTCTCATTCAAACCTTTCTACACACACACACACACACACACACACACACACACACACCACACACACACACACACACACACACACACATATATATATATATATATTATATATATATATATATATATATATATGTATATATGTGTGTGTGTCTGTGTGTGTGTATATAAATGTATACATATATACATACATACATTCATACATACATATATAGATATATATATACATATATACACATATATACACACGCATGTATGTATACATGTAGACTCTTTCCCTCCCCCTCCTCCCCCCGCCCCCTTCCCATGGCACTCGAGTCCGCCCACCTTCCCTGACGGTGCGCACGCGGCCCCCCAGGTGATCCTGCGCCTCCAGGAGAACGTAGTCGTTGTAGCCGTAGTCCGAGAGGGTCTTGGCTGCAGCCAGGCCGGCCAGACCTCCGCCCACGATCACGACGCCCACGCGCCTAGCCTGGGCGTACCTGTGGGAAGAGAATGGGTTACGAAGGGAGGAGGGAGGAGGGCAGGAGGACAGGAGGGAGGGAGGGAAGGGAGGACAGAGGGAGGAGGGAAGGGAGGACAGGGAGGGAGGGAGGACAGAGGGAGGGAGAGGACAGAGGGAGGGAGGGAAGGGAGGACAGAGGGAGAGAGGTAGGGAGGGAAGGGAAGACAGAGGGAAGGAGGGAAGGGAGGAGGGAGGAGGGAGGGACAGAGGGAGGAGGGAGGACAGAGGGAGGAGAAAGGGAGGACAGAGGGAGGGAGGAAGGTAGGGAGGGAAGAAGGACAGAGGGAGGGAGGGAAGGAGGACAGAGGGAGGGAGGGAAGGGAGGACAGGGAGGGAGGGAAGGGAGCACAGAGGAGGGAGGGAAGGGAGGACAGAGGGAGGGAGGGAAGGAGGACAGAGAGAAGGAGGGAAGGGAGGCCAGAGGGAGGGGGGAAGGGAGGAGGACAGAGGGAGGGAGGGAAGGGAGGAGAGAGGGAGGGAGGAAGGGAGGAAGGAGGGAGGGAGGGAAGGGAGGACAGAGGGATGGAGGGAAGTGGGAGAGAGAGGGAGGGGAGGGAGGGAGGGAGGGAGG